GGGGGGGGGGGGGGGGGGTGCACCCCCTGCACCCTCCCCCTAGATCCGCCCCTGGCACCCTCTCTGTAAATGAAAGGAATTTCATGATTTTGGAGTTGAGCTCATTCAAGAGGCCTACATAGTCAAACTTTCCTGTAGCTTCCCACTCAGACGTTCTCTTAGCTTGTCACACAACCCTCACCAACAAACGTGGGGCAGGAACATGTGACGAAGCCCTAAGAATGTCTGCATGGGAGGCTGACCTGTACAAGCTCGTGTTTTTTTTATCTATCTATCTATATATCTATCTATCTATCTGTATTTCACCTACTGAGAGAAGGAAATTAGTTGTTGTGCAAATGTTCTTTTCGATAGAAAACACTGAGCATAGTCATTTGACATGTTGTTTGGGAAAGCAAATGTTTAATTCCAGGGGGGGGGGGGGACTTCCTAGTAGTAGGCAAATGGGTATGTGCCACTGGATGGGGTTGCATTTTCACAACTGGATATTGACTATTTTGGGGTTGCATTTTTACAAGAGTTACTAGATTAGAGTACCGAAGTGTGACGTCATAGAAAATGAAATTTGTGAAATTATGGGATTTGTTAAGATATTCTGAAAGAACAACGTCCAAGACTTCGGTACTCTATGGGGTTGCACATTTTCAGGATATTGGGGGTGAGAAAATTCAGGTATGTAGGGATTTAAAAATAGAAAGATTTACACCACATTAAGCTTTAAAAAATGCGTCAGTTCATTTCAGGATGACCATTAGTTAAAAGGCTTTAAAAGGAGGTGCATAAACAGAAAATGGCTAAGTTGGGATTGAGAAAAATACTTTTTCCCAAAGTGACTTTAAGATGGGGTCTATAATATGCCAACAGAATAGCCTACAGTGTGGTAGGGGTTCTTAGGAGACTAGTGGTGCCTACCCATCAAAAATTAAACCAGTTATGAAGTACTGTTACTGTATATGTTTTGTAACCTTTATATAATTATGTGATATGCATGCATGGTTCTTGTCTAGGTTTTAATCATTTATTTATTTCAATACAAGTTCCAGTTAGTGTAAGTTATTTATAATGTGTGATTCATTTTTAGATGTATTTAATAGACTAGTTTATATTTTAAAAAGCTTTTATTAGTTCTCTACTAGCCTGTAGTTAAACAACAACTAAAAAAAATTAATAACAAATTTCATTATAATTTTTCTTCACAAATGAATGCGAATAAACATTAAGAAGACATATCGTCAAATTGAAATGGTGCTAAAACTTAAATTTTAAGAACAATGTTTTAATAGAAAGATATATATTTTACTGTGCCGATTTCACTGGTGGCAAGGTGACCAGATACCGTTCATGGGTATGATGCCTTTTACAAGGCCAGTATATATTGTCAATAATGAAATGATGCTAAAACTTAAATTTTTAGAATGATGTTTTAATAAAAAGATATATATCTTATTGTGCCAATTTCATTGCTAGCGAGGTGACTGGATACCGCTCATGGGTACATGATACCGTTTTTAAGGCCGGATGAGTATATATTGTTAATAATGAAATGGTGCTAAAACTTAAATTTTTAGAATGATGTTTTAATAAAAGGATATATTAATTGTGCCGATTTCATTGGTGGCGAGGAGACCGGATACCATTCATGGGTACATGATAACTTTCATAAGGCCAGTCTACATCAGTGAAAGGAAACAAATCCACCATAACAGAAATTTTACCTTTAAAAAGCGGTATTTGCATAGGCTCCCCTTATAGGGGTAGTGGTCAATTTTTTTTGGAGGATGGGAAGGAACTTTTACTACGTCTTGTCCCCTTACCCAGGTGTTGGGGGGTTGGGGGCGGGGGGAGTAAAAAAGAGAAGAAGGAGTTTTCAGTTTTTTTTTTTCCAGAAACATTTTACCCTGTCATAAACTGTATCACATCTACACTTAGCCTCGCTTTGCGAAAGAGGCTTGCTTTGTTATACAATTAGTTACAGATATTTCAGAGCTGGTTTACATTCAATCCTTTCTTTAATTTGCTGACACAGACACTCATTAAACGAATACCCATTTCAATTTTAAAGAATGACAAACTGTAAATAGATTAAACGTTAACCAAAACATTATTACAAGAGAGACATTTACTAACTTCTACTCCTCTTAAATAAATTGATCATTAATTTGCATTAAAAAGCACACAGGGTCTTTCCATTCCACTTGATTTTATGATATGTCAGTGGGGTTTTAACAAACGTGGGCTCTGAATTCTTAATACAATACTTTCTTATCTTTAAGTGGCGGCAACTTGCAATATTATTGTTTATTAAACACTTACTTACAAAAAAATAAAACATTTTCCTATACATGTTGTACAAAGTTACAGATATTTCAGAGCTGGTTTATGTTCAATCCTTTCTTTAATTTGCTGACACGGAAACTCATTAAACGAATACCCATTTCAATTTTAAAGAATGACAAACTGTGAATAGATTATTGAGTTCAACTCCACAATTAGGTTTGGCTCCAGTCTGAATTTTTTTAATAATAATTTCACTTTCTTTTAAGACATACACAAGCTCTAAATACAACTAACAGGTACTTATATTTTCATTTATGTCTCTCGTGCATAGATTATTTTCTTTAAAAAATAAACAAGACAATTTCTTCAAAATCATGATTTCTTAGTTAACCACCCTCTTAAAAAAGACAATTTCTTCAAAATCATGATTTCTTAGTTAACCACCCTCTTAAAACAGTTATTATTGTATTAATACAAGATGTTCATGAGGCTTGTAGATACTTGACTGATGTCTATAAATTAACATGTCAAAATTGAGACATTCCTTGTGTTTAATAAAACTTAAAATCATTACATGTATTCTATCACATCTTCTCAAACACCACCATTTGCCATCCCCGTACTCAGGTCCCTGATGTCAAGTCCTGAATCCAAAGCAATCACTTCAGGGTATGTTAGCCCATTGGGTGCCACAAGATGAGAGATGAGGTTTTTCCACTCCTCTTCACACAATTCATTGTTGTTGCTGTTCAAGCCACCTGCAGGAAACAACAAAAGCTCGGAGGTCTGGATTGTTTCCTCTCCAAAATATACCCCATTTGATGATGGTGTCACAACAGCTTTGTCCCCCATTGAAGTGTATTTCTGGTTGATTACAACTAGGGTGGACAAGCTGAAAAATTTCCTCTCCTCCCTTACAAGGAATATAATTTGAATGTAAATTAAAAATTACGTTATCTAACAATTTTATGGAAATCTGGATGGGAGGGGGGACTTTGCACTTGAAAGTCCTGAGGAGAGAGGGGGGGGGGGCTCAAGCAGTTTTAGAAATCTGGGTGGAAAGTGGGTGGATGGGAGGGGGGGGGGTCAAAATATTGTGCCTTATGGTGGGGTGGGGGTATGGATTTTTGCTGGAATAACCCATTAAGTCAGACTGTTCTTCAGGAAGAAATGATAAATCAAAATAATATCATATTGTTGCAGATCGGCACTGCACGGTTATGTACCTTTCTGGTTGTCTTGTAATAGCTCTGGTTCAGTGCAACTACCATTAGCTAGTACTACCACTATTTCCATTAGCAGTGTTCTTGGTGTTTCTGCATTGTAAAGTTTTTCTGGCCATACTAAGGGCCCCATTGCGTGTCTCATTGCCACCAATAAAACCACCTGCATGGACAAAAATGCATCCCTGAATTCCACTGAGTAAACTGAGGGGTTCATCTCTTATTCCACGCCATTCTTCCAACAAGCTTAGCCTATGGGACAGAAGCAAATGTTAGGCAAGTGACAGGAGATGTTCGTAAAAGGCCATTTCCATGATGACATTTGAATAGAACTAACACAATTTATCAATTTTGTTTTTACTTTCTTATTTAGACATGTCAGTTCCACTGAGGTTTAAAATAGACAATAGCTGTAACTACTTTTGCACAAGAAAACCACAAACTGAAGGATTCTAGTAGTTGTAGTATAATGACATTATCATGCAATAAATTGAATGTCCTGAGTGATAATCACACTGACGTCACCTATTGCAGGTATTAATAAATATTCCAATCAGAAGTGCAGGTTTTTTGAAACAAAAGATTATTTTGTTTTACTTGTCACAAATTTGAATAATAAAAAAAACATGTCTCCTAGCTATTGACACCAAAGCTGTTTCATGTCTAAAAGCTGTTCAATTTTTAAAATGTTGAGCTGCCACTGATCAGAGTCAGGCATAATACGTGTAATTAAATAAACACCTAAAATGTTTGACCTTTCTATAGCAACTGTTATGGGCATCATAATAATTTATTACCTGTTTTCAAAGGAATCAGGGCGGACAGGAACACACTATACAGAAAAAAAAAGATCTTAATATTAATTTTCTTCCATTATTAGTAACCTTATGATCAGCATTAGCCACAGCAGTGTTTTTGTGTTGCCATTTTAGGGGATTTTGTGT